ATCATCAAAATCTTAAAAATGTCAAAAAGTAATTTTTACATAGACTTTTTCATAGAACATACAAAAAATCTAACTTTCTCGAGGTTCCACTTCATACTCCTCATGCTTGACATGAACAAGTCTTACTCCAAACTACCTTTTTAAACAGCACTTACTATTATGCTGAGATTATAATTAACATCCCCTTTGCTGGTTTGCTGCTGGATCAATCATCTTAAAGCTACATACTTTCTTTTAAAAGGTGTAGTAGCAACTTACGCTAAGCAGTAAGCATATACAGTAAAGCTTGTAGGCCAATACATACACAAAATACTTCACATTATCTTCCCTCTAAAGACAGCTTTAGAAAGCCTAACACTAAGAGCTATGTTCCAACCCTGCTGAGGTTCTTAGAAAATGGCTATTGGGAAGTTCATACAAACTATCGTCAAGACTGGGTTTCATTAGCAACCTTTTCTTCCAAAAACCACAAGGCTCTATTCCTACATTAAAGCCAACTTAAAGAACACTGACCTAGTCTGACCTTTTGGGAAAAGGTATGGAGGTCAGACTTCTTGTTGAGCTACAGGCTGAAATTTCCTACTCACTCTGAGACTACATAAAGCTTTTGAATAGGATATGAGAACAGTTTCCTAGAAGTCTTGGAACACAAAACTGACACTGGCAAGAGAACCTGCCACAGCCCTCTACAATACCTGAAACAGCAGAGGAACAAGAATATGGTTCATTTGGCTCACATACTCAGATTAACAGCATTTTTCTACTGTAAATTACCATGTCCCTGACAATGAAAAATCTGCTCATCATACTGCCAAGAGCCAGTGAATATCCATTTCTTGAGACACAAACTGTGTGTATTCTCAGTAAGGAGGTCTTTGTGCAAAGAGCTATTCCAGAAGCTCTGCCATTTATAAAAGATAAGCATCTGATATTCATAAGTGTGTCCAAAATCAGCATATCAGCTATGCAACATTCTCTACCTCCTGGTGAAGGACTAACTAATAAAAATGTATTGGTCATGTATTAAGAAAACTCTGCACCTTTAAGCTGAAGATCCATCACTTCTTATTCATGAAAACAAAGAGGTTAGTGTGCAAACACTTGCAAGCAATAAAGCCAGATGAGAAACGCTCCTGTATTTCAATCAGTGCAGTAACCAGCCTGTTGAAGCTTCCCTTCCAGCAATCTGTCCTCTACAGACCAAACATCCCTGCTGGCAAAGGCACCAATTGTACAAGCTTTCCCACTCACTTTGAGGCTGCACACTCATTTCTACCACGAGGGAATAAAATTCATCTGGGCTACAATAGTGCTAATCATAATGTAAATATCTTTTTAGCAGCTTGGCTCACTGAACAACCATTTTGCATTTCCAATGCCAAAGTGCATTTCCTACACTAAATGGAAAGTGACCGCCAGAGTGAAAACCTTTCTGCATGACGGTCCTTTCAAACTGAATATCTGACCCGTGATGGAACAATCAATTTCTTAAATAAGAAACATCTCTATATAAAGTATCTAATGAAAAGTCCAGCATGCATCTCTAGCATAAAATTATAGCAGGCAACATCACAAAAAAGGAAGGCAGTGCAAATATAACAGGTCTGATATTTCTTAGCCCCAAGAAAGGCTGGCACAGCCTCCTCCCTCCACAACCAGAAAATAAACAAACAAACAAACTGTGTTTTTCTTTACAGTAAATAGGAAAATACTTCTTTCTAAAACAATATTGTATGAAAAGGATCTCTGGAAGGCAACAGCCAGCTTAAATAGATGAGATTTCTAGTATTCTCAGCCTATGCTCAAGAATTTCCTGCACCAGAACTTTTCCTTAGGCACAGGAGACTAAAGAGAAAAGTGGCAGCAAAGGATTGCTTCAGCTGTGGCTCACTGAGACCTTTTTTTTTTTTTTCCACAAGAATCTTCAAAGGCAAAACCAACAGTTGCAGGAACTGCTGCCTCCTCCAAGATTGAACTGCAGCTTTTTAGTGTGTGTATATACACACACACACAGGCACTCACATATATGTACAAAAAGAAGTCATAAAGAAAACCTAGTTAAGTAGATTCCATGGATGACTAAACTGGAAAGAGAGCAGCTTTGGACCTGAAGCTCTTTCATGAGCAGTGGCTACAAGTAAGGTGACAAGATGACATTTCCATTGACAACAAACTTGACACGGACAGAAATTGGAGCTTCAGGATGTGGCAGAGCTGCAATACATCAACAAGAATGGACATTTTCCAGAACCTCACATTTGTTCCATAAGGCTAGCTATGTTGAGACTGGCAAAAATCTCAAGCATCCTTTAGAAAAAAAAACCTACACGAAGTGGATGTGGATGGCCATCAAGATTTATTCCATAGAGCCGCAAAGCCCAAAGACAAGCAGAATAAGATGCCCTAAGAGGGCTCCTCAAAGACCATAGAGCATGGCTCTCCATGGAGCAGAGCTTCTCTCTAAGAGAGCCATAGCCCAGGCCCTGCAGAGCTTCCCTCCAGAGGCCTTCCCTGAACTCAGGGCTACGTCCTGGAAAGACAGTGTGCTTTATTCATACCCCTGTCACACAGATTTCTCCACCACAGCTACCATCAGTTAGGATATGGGGCTTTTTAGACCTCTGGTCTGGATAACATCATGGGAAACACTCATCTTCTGGAAAAGACAGTGACTTGTTTAAGAAGTTACCTGACATCTCCCCTCATGCTCTTCACAACTCTGGGAGCTGCAGGATTTGTAAATAGTACACAGAAATGTGAGACCCCACAGACATTTAACATGTCCATGTGTTAAAGTGCTTGCTAGCTTGTGACTATACAGAACTAGTTTAAACAGTGGAAAGCAAAGCATGGAAAGGAGAAAAATACCAGAAAGACGCAAATAATGAGCAATATCAGTAAAACAAAACACTCATATTTCTTTTTCGCAGTCACAGGTAACAGCCTTATTGTCATACGGCAAATGTTCGAAGAAAAAAAATGAGAGTCAGTTCAAGAAAAGAAAACTTGATAGAAAAAGCACCAAACTAAGCAATGAAGCATATAGTTAATGGAAAGGAATCTGTACGTGAGGCAGACTAATAGGTCTGAAAGTGTTTCGTGGTACACACCAAGAAGAAAAAAAAGTATAGGCAGTTGAGAACAATCTGAGACTTAAAATCAAATTTCTACCTTCTAGACCTCTTGTGTGAAGGGAACAAGGCACACTATGTATTTGCTATGAAATATTAAGGCAAAAGTCCCTCACGGTCAAGTACAGTATGTACAACCATTCTGTAAATGCATGTATAGTTAACCATTCAAAGAAAAATATGATTAATATTATAGAGGTAGAGCCAAACATTTGATTTTAAATTTTCAAATTTCTGATAATAGGTTTGCTGACAGAATAAAAAGAATAGACAGATGCACACACAAACACTTCTCAGTATTTTTGCCACAGCAAAAAGGTGGCAAAGCAAGAAATGACCAAAACGCTGCATTTGTAGCATGCTTAGATGTTGTAAAATAGCTCTACTTTTCCTTATTCTCTGCATAACTTCATTTGTTTTTTTTTAAGTTTCATTACATAGAAAAAGGAAGAAAAGATGATGTTTTAAATTTAAGCATTTCCTTAACTACAGATTTTTAAGTAAACTAATAAAACAGTTGAGTATTCTCATACTTCCCTTTTCTGCCTCTCTATCTCCATACATTTATGGCAGAGCTTGGAAGAGTCAGTATGTAAAACCAGTTTTATATAAACAAATATTTACACTTAATAAAATACTATTGAATCAGCACATCAAGTATTCTTTCACTATATAATGAACCTCATATTTCACGTTAAAGGAGATGCAAACAAATTTAAAAAAATACTAAAAATCAATTTCAAGAGATGAAGTAACTACTCTTATTAAGTCCTTTGGGTGTTACTTCCTAATAGATACTGATAACGCATGTGAGTTGTATTATGGACATGTTGATGGTACCCTTTGGTTATCTTTTATTTTTTAGGAAGTCTGCAAATCACAATAATGAAGCAATAAATTAGCAAAATAATCAGAACGTTAGTTACATCTTATTGACATAGAAATATATAATGCATCTGGCAGGTGTATGTTAGCTCAAATTTCATTTTTTCCATGCAGATCACGTAAGAGCAGGCTCATGAAAATATTAGTCGGACAAAAAACCTAATTGAAACAATCAATTATTCATAAAAAAAAAGTCACACGTGAACCATGGTATAATTCCACTTAGTATTTTTCTGAATATATACATGAACCATCACAAAAAGCTGTTGTTTTAGCAGTAAAGTTGCTTTTGTAGCTCTTTTAAGTCCCCCTCCCCCAGTCAATAACAACGTTTCTGATTGGATCTTAAATTTTTATCTGGAATGAACCAAGATGCAGTAAGTCTGTGAATATGAAGCTGATTTCTACATTCAGAGATTATTATTAGTAAGCATCATCTTTACACTGTTTCAAATTCTACCATACGAAAAAAATCCTGGCAAGGGATTTAGCCCTTGTTTTTATCTTTGGCAACTAATTTCACAATCTTCTGACAGTTTTAGGAGTACTAAAAGACATTCCGTTGTAATACACACATCTGGTATGCAGTTAATGGCTAGTCCTTACTAGCCATGTGAAGAGGAGCAAATCTATAGTAAAAATTTTGCCTTGCAGATCTACTGAAGAATTTCAGAATACATGAATTTTAAACAGCAAATGATTTGTGGGTTCAATCAAAGGAGCACCTATACATTCAGTTATCATCTCCAGCTTATTGATAACACCAGAGGCCTTTATAAGCTGATTTTACATTCACAAGGACAAGACTAACGTGCACACACCTTTATATATTTATAATTACACAAAATGAGGTCCCTTACAGCTTTCAGTTCTGCAAAAATACTGCAGTCATGAATTAAACATCACCTTCCAAAGTTCTGTGGTTTGTGTCTGCTCTAGCAAGGTTTTTGAAAACACCTATGAGTTGGAATAGCTTTACATTACCTCCAACCTTAGGCCCACCAGCTGAACCTGGCTTTCTTGCACTGTTCGAAGGATTTCCTGGCTTTTTGGGTGCAGGAACCTTGAACGCTGAGGCAGCTGACGATGGCCTATTTCCATCCACTGACTCTTCATCATCAAAGCTTTTATCTAAAAAGGGACAGATCGACACAATACAACTATTAGAACAGATGCATATTTATTTTTTAGAGAGTTATTCTGCTTCACATTTCACAGAAATGGACAAAATAAATAAATAAATACTAATTACTTTGTCCTGGGATCAAACCTGGGATTAAAATGACAACCAGAAATAACTAACATTTTTTAGATTTTGTATGTTCTTATAAAATAAGAGCTTTAGCTTCATAATTAGCCACCATAAGACTAAACATAAAAATGAATCCTACACATGCATTCCCACAAAGGGGAAATATCTTTGCACAGATCAAATATTTTTGCTCATTTCTGAATATTACCCCCAAAGGAAAGCCCTTAATGTAATTTTCAGTCATTCCAGTCTACCCAAACGCTTCTCCCTTTTCTTCTACTCATGCATGCATTTTCTGCTACACATCCTCCCACAATGTGTCTACCAGCACTCCCTGTCTCTCCGCTTCCACCCAGATTTTGCAACTCACAATCACAGATGCGCTTGCAGATCAGCCGCCTCATTCCTCTGATAGCTGTTAAACCGCCTCGCCCCAGGCCGGACCCAGCACTTCACATGGCCACGCGCAGGAGACGGCGCTAAGCGGAGACGGTAGCCAGAGGCGCCCGGCAGCACCGCGGCCGCAGCGCTGGGGTTCGTGCCGGCATCTTCCTCCCTCGCCCTGCGCTAGGTGCCGCGGCAGCCAATGGGCTGCTCGGTGACATCATCTGGTGGGAGCCGCGGCCACCGGGAAAGGTGAAAATCCTGCGTGCAGATCCGGCCCTTCCCACACCGCGCAGCGGCCGCTCTTGCCATTCCTCACCGAAAACACATTACGGGCAGAAAACACCCCGGTGTCTGCACTCCTCAATCAAAGTCTGGCCGCTTTGAGTCGAGGAAGAAATGCATCTCCAGTGACTAGCCAGAACAGTCTCATCAGCCTGTGGTTTCTCTCATAAATAAAATGGGTGAGGCTGAGACACAGCTGCACTACAGCACTAAAGTCTAATTGAGCACATTTCTGTCCCTAATGCCTGCCATTTCTAAAATACATGCATAAAATTCATTTAATCCAGACCTTTGTCACCTCAGGTGTGGTGGCTCTTTATTTACTCTTCGCCTATTCAGGATTTGTTTCCAATAAAATATCAACGATATTTAATAATGCAGCTGCCCAGAGGAAAGCAGCTTTCATCCAAATATTAAAGCAGGGTTATTTTTCCAAGAGCATTTGCAGCAACATCAAGCCAAACATTAAACCACCCTGTACTGAATACGTCAGGCATCGCTGGTGTTGTAGTTAATAAATTTCTCTGGCACTAGCAAAGAACTGGGTGTTGCACTAACAAATCCTTACGAATTAAAAAGGAAACCAAAAACACAGTAAACACCCAGATGTTTATTGACAGCTTTCTCTAATGTTATTTCCTCCCCTCGCAACCACCAATTTTTAAGAGAACGTTGCTAAAAATAATCGGGTTGGGCTCTGTAAACTCCCCGAATCCGGGGAGAAGGCCCAGCCTCCCTCTGGCTCCGCGTTGCCATGGGAACTGCACTCTATGCGAGCAGGAGCGCTGGGGAGGAGGAGC